GTACTTGGTCACTAAAGCCCATGTGGCAAACCTAGATTAAGTTCTTGGCTCCTGGCTTCAACCAGGTCCAGCTCTGGCTGTTACAGACCTCTGGAGAAGGAAGCAGTGGATTCAAGATCTCTGTCTCTCTGTCACTCTGTTACTCTGCCTCTCACTGCCTTTTAAATAAAATGAAAATAGATTATAACATTAAAAATGTAAATGGAGACCTTATTTTATTTTTAATATATATTAAAAAGTTGAGGGGCTGATGCTGTGCAATAGTGGGTAAAGATGCCACCTGTGATGTTGGCATCCCATATGGGTGCTGGTTCATGTCCTGGCTGCTCCACTTCCTATTCAGCCCCTTTCTTTGGCCTGGGAAAAGCAGCAGATGCTGGCCTAGGTGTTTGGGCTCTTGGCCTCCATGTTGGAAACCCAGATGAAGCTCCTGATTCCTGGCTTCAGACTGGTCCAGCTCCAGCTGTTGCAGCCATCTGGGGAGTGAACCAGTGGATAAAAGATCTGTCTGTCTGTCTCCCTCTCTCTCCCTCTTTCTCTCTCTCTCTCTCTCTGTGTGTGTGTGTGTGTGTGTGTGTGTGTATTTGTGTCTTCCTCTCTCTGTAGCTCTTAAAAAGTAAATGAATAAATCTTAAAGAAAATTATTTGAGAATGAGAGAGAGACACACACACACAAAGAGGCAGGCTGACAGAGCTCCCATCTCTTGGTTTACTCCCCAAATGCCTGCAATGGCCAGGACTGGGCCAAAACTGGGAACTGGGAACTCCATCTAGGTCTCTCCTGTGGGTGGCAAGGACTCAAGTACTTATCATCCACTGCCTCCTAAGGTCTGCATTGGCAGAAGCTGAGAATTGAAGCCAGATACTCTTTTACGGGATATAGTATGGGATATGGCTGTCTTAACCAACAGGCCAATTGCCCACTCTTTGTCTTGTTTATTTCTATAGTCCCAACATCTAACACAATGTTATGGCAAGTTATACACATATTCTCATTCTCTCTCTCTCTCTCTCTCTCTCCCTCCCTCCCCCCCCCCCCCCACAATTTAGTATTTCCTATTCTGAATGCCCACTAGGAATGTTTCCCTGAGAAGTTGCATACTTTTTAGCTCATATCTTTCACTGTAGAATGATATATATACTTTCTGTTTTATTATCATTTCTATGCTGACTTATGAATACAACCAGGGCTGCTACCAGCAGTCAGCTCTTGCATTGCTTGTTGCCTTTAATTCGAACAATAGCAGCCTTCACCTGCTGGTACCTGCAACAGTGAACGAACTGCCAGAAGAGCAACCTGTCTGGGAGCCACTTTGGCTACCTGGTCTCAGATCTATGAAATCTGAAAACTGATCAGAGGAACTTGGTTGAATGTTATAAGTAAGCTCCTTGGGAAACAGATCTGAGATTTGCATGCAGTGTAACAATCAAGGGGTTCTCCTAAGAACCAAGTACAAAGAGAAGTAGAAATGGGTAGAGGGAAGAGTTTAAATGCATTGCACTGGATCCCACCAGGAGTTCTGAAGTTCAAACAGCTCTCCAGAGTTGTCCCTAGTTGAGACAAAGGAGTTGGTCCTTTGTTACTTCTGCAAAGACCAGTCACTGGAGCCCTGTGAGAAACATCTTTTTTTAGTGGGTATGATAACCGGGGAGGGCCTCAACTGTGACCACCACTTCTGGCATTATGGGAATGGAATGAATTTCTCGGTTCTGGAATATCAGAGCAGCATGCCACAGTGTCCATTACAGAGGTTTGTGTCAGGCCTTGAGGATCAGGGCTGCTAGATCCTGTTCTCAGCCCACCCCAGAGATCAGAAACTGGGTTCCCAGTGACCCTGCAGCAGTTGCTGACCAGGGAGTACTCAGCTGGCCCCGTAGACTATAAACACACAGGAGGACCCTTTCCTTTGGCTGAAATGTATAGAATACCTACTGTAAAAATTTCCTACTTGGGTAAAAATAACTTTTTTAAAAAATTTATTTTTATTTATTTGAAAGTCAGAGAGAGAGAGAGAGAGAGAGAGAGAGAGGTCTTCCATCCTATGGCTCACTCCCCAATAGGCTGCAATGGCTGGAGCTGCACTGATCTGAAGCCAGGAGCCTCCCCTGGGTCTCCCACGCGGGTGTAGGGGCCCAAGGACTTGGGCCATCCTCCACTGCTTTCCCAGACCATAGCAGAGAGCTGAATAGGAAGTGGAGCAGCCAGGACTAGAACCAGCACCCATATGGGATGCTGGCGCTTCAGGCCAAGGCTTTAACCCACTGTACCACAGTGCTGGCCCCTAAAAATAACTTTTTCTCTGCTTTAAAGGACATCTAGTTGGGAGTAAGCCAATAAAGAAGAAATATTTACTTCACTGTTCTGAGAGGATGAAATATGGAGAACCTCAGGTTCATTACAGAAAGCTGACAAACACTGGAACTGAGCATTTGAGCAGAAACCTGTGTATGCCAGTAGGTACTCAGAGAGACACAAAGAAGCAGCCACATTAACCTGTGACCCCATGGACCTTCTCCTTAGTCATTCCAACAACTCCTACACAACAGCACTACAACAATGCCAGAATACAAACATGAACTGCAAAGACAATCTCCTTCGATTGTGGTTATTCAAAATTTACTTTTAGCTCTGTTATACAGAGGCTTAAACATTTGAAGTATCCATTTATAAACTGCTGAGGAATATGCTCACCCAGTTCACTATTTTTATAAAGTGCTACTGGGGGGCCAGTGTTGTATCTAGCAGGTTAAGCTTCCACCTGCAATGCCAGCATCATATGTGAGCACGGTTCAAGTCCCTGGCTCCTCCACTTCCGATCCATTTCCCTTCTAATGCAAGTGAGAAAGCAGCAGATGGTCTGAGTGCTCAGGCCCCTTCCACCCATGTGGGAGATTCAGATGGAGCTCCACGCTCTGGGCTTTGGCCTCTTCCAGCCCTGGGGAGTGAGCCATTTGCGGAGTGAACCAGCAGATGGAAGATCTCTTTTTCTCTCTGTCTCTCCCTCTCATTCTGTAATTCTGCCTTTAAAATAAATAAGTAAATCTCTAAAGAAAGAAATAAGTACAATCGGTCTAGTCTTGCTTTTTGAATTGTAATGGATTTAAAATTATTTTAACACATCTTCCTAACCATTTAAGTCAGAAAGGTTAAGGTAATTATAGAACTACCTTTTAAGCCAGAAAAGGGGAGGTGCAATTCATGTAGGCAAACATTAGTTGACCAAAATAAAGGGTTAGAATTCAATATTTTGGGATTGACCTTGGACAACTGGCTTATCTCCCTGAGACTCAGTCTCTTTCTATCACAAAGGGTGTGATAATGCACCCCGGGGTCTATGTTAAAGATGAAATGAGAATGCTGTTTGTGCAGTGACCAGCACCTAACACGGCCTGTACACCTAGCACACATTACTTTCTTCTCTGTAAACTCACTGATAAATTTGTTAAGAACATGTTGGGGGAAAAAAGACCATGTGCATGTTTCTGGAGCTGAAATCTATAGCAAAAGCACATTTTTTTTTTAAAAAAAGGGTATCAAGAGGACTCAGGTCAAGAAATTGTGGCTCATGTGGCATAGCCAATGATTAAACCTTAATACAACTTGACAGTTTTAATTTTTATATAAATACCACCAGGGCCTATCATTCATATTATGGATTCTAAGCTTAACAAATGTAATTTAAAAACAACAAAGCTGCTTTTAAAGGACTACTGTCAAAGTGCTGACATTTTCAAAATTGAAAATGTTCCTTGTATACGAGCTGAAATGGAAAATCCAGCAATTCTTCTCCTTACCTGACAGGAGTTATCAGGATGGACCCTGAGAATGCCTGAACATTTGTTTAAGTTGAGTTATTGATGGGTTGAGACAATTTCTCATGGAATCATAAAGGTTTGGATATAGAATATGAGCTAGTAATTGCTGAAATTTGCTAAACACTGAGTCAAGTGCTATGCATAAACGAGCTCGTTAATTGTCACAGAAAAAATTGTAGTGGAGAGCAATCTGGGGCTCTATGCCTTTGATTCTAGATTATTTTCCCATGGTCTATATTATCCCTATAATATAACAAATCACACAGTGACAGTGGGTTTCAACAGAAGACAAAACAGATTCTAGGACGAGAGGAGATCCTTAAGGCCCCAGAGCTGGTTAGAGACCAGGCAATGACTAGAACTGAGTTCCCAAACCCGTGCTCTTTTTTTCTACCTTTGGTACCTTACATCCTCTCTGGATTATGGCCTTAACACAACAGATTAGAATGTATTCAGCAAAACAAAGCTTTATGTGTTCACAACACTGGAAAAGTACTGTGATTTTGTTTGAGATCATTTGTCAATAACCTATATGAGTTCTGTTCCTTTCAATTGCAGCACTAAATTCAACTAGTAAATTTCAAAATAAATAATTTCATGGTGCAGTCTAAAGTGCTGACCCAAGCACTTTTCAACCCAAATTAAAAATAGTAAGTCTCATCCAAAATAAATAGGAAATACACCTGGTTTATGAGAAATAAAGTTACAGAAGACAACAGTAGTTTGTCTATTTTAACTCTTTTCATAACATATTCAGTCTTTCAGTTGGCAAATATGTACTGAGTGCCTACTATGTGACAGATACTGTGCCCAGCACTCAGAATGCCTCAATGAACAACAACAAAAAAAAACTGCCATTCAATCTTTGCTAGAGAATAAACCCACAGAGAAATCAATTAGTTTCTTTTAAAAACAGTGGGGAAAATGGCAGAAAATAAAAAAACCCACCTTATTTGCAAGCTTCTCTAAATAGCCTTCAAATTCTCCTTATTTCTCAATGTCCAACAACAGTTTGAATTGTGTGATGCTCTGTAGAAGGGGTTCATGAACTAGACAGTCAACATTTATTTAATGTCTTCTGCATTCCAATCACTAAACCAAACATTTTGTCACAGTTCACAAGAGCTTCTATCTTAGCAGACTAATTAAAGGAAGCAAAACAAGAAGTCAGCCAACATACATACCAGCCCTAGGGCCCTAATGCAGAAGAGGCCACCTGGGCAGGTGCAAAAAATCCCCCTCTTCACTTGTCTCCTTGTTGGTCACCTTCTAAAGCCAAGCATGGAACCAGGTAAGACAGGAAGTGTACGGGACTGGCAAGCATGACTCTTCAGCACACTTCCAGACAATTCCTAGGAGACATTAAGGTGCAAAGTTGGAGTCAGATTGGCCAGATTCATATTTATGTCCTGCACAGGGGAATCAGAAATGCCGTGTGCAAATGCTGGTGATTTCAAGGTGACATGCCTCTGATTTTTTTAATCTGAAGGTCAATGTCTCCTGTGGGGGTCATCTGGTCTTGTTGTTACACTGGCTGACAAAGAGGAGATTTCTAGAAAATAAACCCCAAAAATCTTTCAGAAAGCTAGGTCTCCATTTCCAAAATACTTATCACATACAATTTCTCCCAGCTTTTAAAAAGAACCCGATTTCACATTTCTTTCTCTTACTTGTGCGCCTTGTGTGAATAGTCACAGCCTGATTACAAAGGCCTTGGTTTGCAAACAAAACACAAGGGCTAGCAAATGTGACAGGACTGGTAGATCTGCCCTTTAAGTCCCTTTTCTTTGGTCCCAGGGACAGATTTGCACTTGTTACAGGATGACGGAGTAAGTCACTCATGGCACTGCCACTTGTGAGTAATGGCACGATGCCTTCCTTCTTGGGGTGTTAAGTATTTTCTCTTTCCCTGTATATATTAATATCTAATTTCCATGTTGGTTATCAGCATGCAGGCAAACATGTTCTGGTATTGCACAGGGAAGATTGAGGACATTTTAGAAACTCTAGAGGAATTCCAGCCTCAATCATGTTCTAACTTATTGATTTATGTGAATCAATATGCATTTTTGCAAACTATCTTTCGGCTTGCTTGCTTGCTTCTTTTTTTAAGTTGGCACTTAGCAGGGGAATTAGGTCATTTTCATTAGAAAGAGCCTCTAATTAACTAGTTCTTTATTTAAAAGAATACAAGTTCTGCTCTTGAGAATGCTATAACATTTTGTCAATAGTTCAGAACAGGGCTAATGATCATCATTAATGAAAGCTCAGCATGAGTCTGAGATCTTCATTTTATTAAACTATGGGATCCCAGACAAAAATAACTTTACAGTAATCATTTTCCACCTTACAAATAAATAAAACAAGCACTAGAGAAAGTGATAGGAAAGTGTGCTAGAAAATAAAATTTATTCCTTGTCAGTTTCAACAGATATGCAATCTTTTTTTTTTTTTTTTTTTTTTGACAGGCAGAGTGGACAGTGAGAGAGAGAGATAGAGAGAAAGGTCTTCCTTTGCCGTTGGTTCACCCTCCAATGGCCACCGCACCGGCGCACTGCGCTGATCCAAAGCCAGGAGCCAGGTGCTTCTCCTGGTCTCCCATGGGGTGCAGGGCCCAAGTACTTGGGCCATCTTCCACTGCACTCCCTGGCCACAGCAGAGAGCTGGCCTGGAAGAGGGGCAACCGGGACAGAATCTGGCACCCTGACCGGGACTAGAACCTGGTGTGCCGGCGCCGCAAAGCGGAAGATTAGCCTAGTGAGCCGTGGCGCCGGCCTCAGATATGCAATCTTGAGCTCAGAATTGAGCCAATGAGAAACTGGGGGAAATATTTTCTACTTCTATGTTTCTTTCTCTCCTTTAAAAAATCCTACCTGCATGCTTTCTATTCTTTATAAATAATCCCATTTATAGTTATCAGAAGACTTGAAATAAAGAAGGAATGCAGTAGCCCTAACCTTACAGTCACCCTAAGAATAGCTATGAGGCCCATTAAGATCTCCTAGAGGGCCCAGGCTTCAGGGGCCAGGGGTGGGCCCTGTAGTTTGAAAACACATTTGGGGCTGGTGCTGTAGCTCAGTGGGTTAATGCCCTGGCCTGAAGTGTCAGCATCCCATATGGGCTCCCGTTAGAAGCGGGCTGCTCCACTTCTGATTCTGCTCTCTGCTGTGGCCTGGGAAAGCAGTAGAAGATGGCCCAAGTCTTTGGGCCCCTGCACCCATGTGGGAGACCCAGAGGAAGCTCCTGGCTCCGGATTGGCGCAGCTCCAGCCGTTACGGCCATTTGGGGAGTGAACCAGTGGATGGAAGACCTCTCTCTCTCTCTCTGCCTCTCCTCTCTCTGTGTAACTCTTTCAAATAAATAATAAATAAATGTTTTAAAAAAACACGTTTTAGGTGATTTTGGTATATCTTCTGATTGAGAACATAGCATTTATTCTCTTGGTTTGCCTGATCTGATCATCTAGCTCTTTTACATCATGAATAGTTCCAACCTCTACTTCCTTATAACAAAACATTTACCAGGAGTGAATCCCTGTAAAGTGACCATGTCTCAGGAACTGGGCTAATCACAACGAGTCCTCACATTAGGCTGTTTGTAGAGCCTGTGTTACTTTATCATTAGCCACATATCCACTAATATTAACGTACTTAACAATAGCACAATCTGCCTTCACAAATGATCTGTCACAGACTCATTTTTCATCATTAATCTTTAATTAAAATTTAAAAAGCTTATTTCACCTCTTAAGAAAACACATTTCCTATTTCTACTTTCAGTTTTAGTTGTGCATCTAAAAATACATCTTCTCATCTGAAGAGCCTAATTGCTTATGTAGTCACAGTTGTCCATCCTCACTTAATCTCCCTTCTCAATCTGTCAAAAATTCCTAATGACACTCAGGTCCTGCAATGCCTCTTTCTGAGGTCTTGACAGGGCTGTGTGATGTGGCGGTAGCTACTGCATTCTGAGGGGCTTCCCAACACTGTGTTTCTATAGGAGTCCTGCCCAAACTCTGCTTGACTCTCCACTATTTTCTAGTCTATATTTAGTCCAAAACATTCCCTGCTGTTAGTTTATAAGATCTCTTCTCTCACGGAGGTAGTATGAACAGGAGATTGGTGAGCTTTTGGAATTTTATTAAGTTGCCTCTTACAATCCCAGATGATTCCACCAAAACAGGGGGGACGTGCACAGTGCTGGTGTTGCATTGTGCCTCTTGCTTTTGTTGCCTGTTCTTTTACTTAATACAGTTCTTCCTGAGCTAATACAATCTCATTCAGTTAAACAAGACCGTGAAAAGCAGTGTTTGTCTATTCATTTTCACACCATAATATTTCTCTGAGAACTACTTTTTCATAATATACATCTTCCTCTAGTCAAAGTTTAGTGTTTTCTTAATAATTTAACATCTTTTGCTCATTCTCCATTCCTCTCCTAACCTGTTTGAAATATCCAAGATGTTATAGCTCATTGTGTTAAAAATTTTTCTCTCTTTGGCTAAGAATAACTTTTGCTTAGGATTAAAATAAATCTCTTACGGAGGTCCTTGTTCTATTCCACAGTGACTATATATCTAAATTACATCTTATGAGTCATGGTAAAAGAAACCCTTATATACTTTATTTCTATGAACACAGGAACACATACACACTCTAAAATCTATGGCAAATATATAACCACTCTGCTCAAATTCTGAAGTGCAACAGAGAACTAAGTTTATAAAACATGACAATTATACCAGGGGACATAAAAACAAAGATGTACTCATGAGTTTCTCTGGTTGCATTTGCTTATCTTTGATAGCATTAAGGATTGATGCCACCAATCTTCCACTAAGCATGCTCTATTTAAAAAAGATGACTACTTGGCCCTAGTTCCTTTCTTCCTTCCTCCTCTCTGTCGCCCCAAACCCCCAACAAAAAGCTTACCAGTTGGTTAGTCTCTGTGTTATTAGTTCATGGAAATGCTAGTATTATTTAACAATAAAAATAAAAATCGCACTCAAGTGAGCACTGAATTATTCATGCACTCTGATTTTACATAATTTGGCCATCCTTCTTTTTATTGCTATTTCAGTTTCTATCACTAAACAATTCTCCTCTAGGTCCACCTCGGATTCCTGTGAACAAGGAGATAACACTTGCAAACTGTTCCCTCCGAGACGATGTTCTGAGCTGATGTCCAAACATTTGCAGCTAAAGCCTAACCGATGAAAACAGCAAGGAACACCCTCAGTGCCCAGAATGACAAGCAGAGTCTTAACAAGACTTGTTCTTTTTTTTTTTAAATCAAATTTCTTTAGAATTTAAAAATCTGTAGGGACATAAAAGGTAGCAAAATTGAACCATCACAGCAACAGACTTTTAAGACTTACATTGTCCCTCTATATTTTCATTATAAGTACACACAGACTCAAGACATCATTTAAAACACAATTAGGGCACTTAATGTGGTTTTAACATTTAAAGTTACTAATGGCCAATGTCAATCTCCCTGTTCAGTAAAAAGCAGTAGGAGGGGAGCAGACGCATCTGAGCAGGGTACAGGAATGGGCCGGCAGTTTGCACTGTCAGCAACATATCAGGCACTGGTGGTGAGCATTTATGGTGGTCAACATTCTAGATACCAGTGTTAGGGCTGAGCTTGCATTGGCTGCTTGTAGAAACGGCCTCTGAACTTCATAGGATTTTATTCTCAGAGTGGGAGAGAAAAATCAGTTTCAATGGCAACATCAAATAGAAATCAAAGAAAACAAGAGAAAGATAGCTACCTAACGAAAAGGAAACAAGTAAAAATGGTTATGAGAATTGTCTTCTCAAGCAAAAGAAGATGCCTTTGACATAGAAAATTTTATTGTTTTGCTCACTTCCAAAATATTATTTTTAGCAAGCTGTTCGTGTAAGTGACTGCAAATGTAAACTAAACCTTTGTGGAGACATTCTTCAAATGTTCGGTGTTAAGTGTGGGAAAGAGAAAAAAACACACAGATGGAAAATACTATAATGAACTGACATGTTCTATTTAAAAACTGTGTGTCAGCCGTAGTTAAGTTGACACTGTCAGCATGGCAACAAATCATAACATTTTGCATGTTTTGCTGCAAGCTTGAAGCAACCACAGCGCGTGGCTTGCCCAGACAGCAGTGGGAGTCTAGGCAGGGCACAGTCCAGGGAATGAAAGGTCAGCCCCCAGGGAAGTGGAAAACGCATGCTGTTCTTTGTGTCTATAAAGTAAAACTGCTGTCTTTTTTTTTTTTTTTAAATAGGATCTGAGCAGTCTAGGAGAACTAAAGGATTCCCTCCCTTAAACTGATTAAGTATTGTAATTCACTTAGATTCATGCACAGCAA